TTTAAGCTATTGTTTAGTGTGCACTCACGATTAGTGGATCTTCTTTAGCTTAGAGACTGGGATCTTCAGGACGATGAAGGAGCCATGTATCTCTTGGGTCCTAGCTAGCAATTTGCAGTAGTTCACTTTTAAGCACTAATCAAGCTATTTTGGGTTGCTGCATTCAAGGACAAGCTGTGCTTGATTAGATCACTTTGAGGCTGGAAAGAAGGATGTATTTTGAATTTATCAGGGCATAAATCTCAATAGGAAGATAAGGTTGCAGGGATTCCAATAGCAAGACAACAAACTCTGGGTTCTTTGCTGCCAGCAACATGTTTCCACTTTGTACTCTTTTCTTTTGTTCTGGTTTCACTAGTTTTTAGCACTTTTCTGATGCTTTGGCCAGACTGTTGGGGACGGGCCACTCCCACATCTTGTATTTTTCATTTCTTCAATAAAATCTCTTTTATTTAATATATATATATATATATATATATATATATATATATATATATATATAGGGGTTGGTTCAAGTGAGAATGCACCTTGGTGAAAGAAATAAGAATAAAATCTAACCTTTGGATCTGATGCATCGTGTGGCTCAGATTGCATCCTGCGCTCACATTTTGAGATAGTGCATTTTCAAAAGATTATGGTGCATTTATCCATGATGCATTTTCAAACCATTTTGGTGCACTTAATTTTGATGCAATCCTTACCCTTAGATCTCACAATCTAGAGCACCAGATTCATTCTTATTTCTTTCATAGGATCGCATTCTCACCAGATCCAATATATATATATAGGGGCCGGTTCAGGTGAGAATGCACCTTGGTGAAAGAAATAAGAATTAAATCTAGCCTTTAGATCTGATGCATCGTGCGGCTCAGATTGCATCTTGCGCTCATATGTTGAGATAGTGCATTTTCAAAGGATTTTGGTGCATTTCTACATGATGCATTTTCATACCGTTTTGGTGCACCTAATTTTGATGCAATCCTGACCCTTAGATTTCACAATCTAAAGCACCAGATTCATTCTTATTTCTTTCATAAGATCGCAGTCTCACCTGATCCAATATATATATAAAATACCTCTTTCTCACATTAAGAATTGTATCTTATTATGCTTAAAAACAAATCCGTGAAAGTTTGGCCAAAGCAAACAATATATCATATTAATATGGAGTTAGGGTCATGATTTGTGTTGTCTCGACATGTGGCATCAGCCCAGGCTCGGGTGGGCCGGAGTAGTGTGCTGCATTGTCTGAGAAGTTTTTGATGTGAAAACAAGATGGGAACTCTATGGGTGGTGCCTTGTATCAAAACATTTCCTAGCAAGTGGTGGTTAGAGACAGTGTGTCCCATTGGATGGTAATGATGGTCCAAGATGATTTGACAAATTACATGGCGTGACATAACAATTTGGTGATTAGTTGATGTATTGTGTCGAAAGTCATCCTGGAAAAATGAGAAGGTTGGGCAGCGTGTCTCACAAAGTTATAACGGTGGTGCAAGATAATTGCCATATCAAGTGGATTATAATCATTATATCACACTTGATGGAGAATAAAGAAATGAACCAAAATATAAGTGTTCATCCAACTCCATTCATATGAGGCCTTTTGAGCTTTGGCCAAAATAAATTCATGAATGTTTGACCCAAAATGGATGGTATCATACTAATATAGAGTTAGGGTGATGGTATGTGCGGTCTCAACATTGTATTCTTTTGTGAACATATTGTGTAAAGCAAAGAAAATGTTACTCTTCCCCACAATTCAAAAAGGGAAAGAACACAAATGTGGATAATGCGATCGGCATTTTAGCTTTTATTTCATAAGGGCTGAGAGGTTGTATGTTTCTTGTGCTCCAATTTTTAAAAAGAAAACCTTTGCTGCAGGTTCGTGCCACCCCAGGGCATACATTAGGCTGTGTCACCTATGTTACAGGGGATGGATCCAACCAGCCTTACCCACGAATGGCCTTCACTGGTGATACTCTGTTGATTCGTGGATGTGGAAGGACAGACTTCCAGGTACTTAGGCCCCGTCCTCTTCGGCTTACGTTTTCTACTTACTTGGTCCGTCCCTGAGTGTTTGTCCACTTTTGACTTTTGGAACTGTTCATCTAAGCACTTTGACTCATCAAATTCTCTTAATGTGTAAGCCTAAAAATAGTCATGTGTGATCTTGTTTGATTCGTCTTAACATATAGATTATTAATATATAATTTTTATAATTTTTTAATATACAAATTACAAGATAAAATGGATTAAAGAAGTGCATTGGATGGTGTGCAAAAATGAAAGTGGACAAACACTCAGGGACGGAGGGAGTACTATTTATTCTTATTGGAATTGAATCAGATCAAACAAAATTAGATCAGACAAAGTTAGATCAGTAACAGCTTTTAAGTTACACTATAATCAAATCAGATCATACCGTAAAAATTCAAATTAGAATCAAACAGATCAGGTGAAGAGAACAAAGCTAGCTTTACTCTCAAAGTAGTCAATCCTCCTTTAGGATGAACTACCTTCATGTCTCTCATTTTAAAGCAAAAAATAGAAGGATCTTTTCGAAAACTGTTGTCTAAAAATCTCCACCCTTGCTTCCCCAACGTAGCTACATTAAATCCGTGGAGCTGTCTAAAACCCAAGCCTCTGCCGCCAAAAGAATATTATCAGAAATAAGTCTACCTGGGAGAAAGGCTGTTGTCTAAAATGAAAAAAAAAATTGCAAGTGCGCCCAACAGGTAAACAAGAAAATTGCTCAGATAATTTGTAACAACTTGAAGAACTCAGTCTTTTGTGTATATCCAGCGTGCATATGATCATTACCAGCCTCCAGTGATCATCCTTTTTTCATGGAGAATTTCTTTAGTGATTTTACCTCAAACTATTACTGAGTCTTATTGCACTATAAACTGTTGGAATTATGGTCCAAATATAAACTACTTCAACATGGAAATAAGTCAGTTTTGAGTTGCTTGGGTTGGACCTAGTGATTTCAATCAAATGTCCGTTGTCTGCTTTATAAATCAAGCTGTATTCAATTTTAGTCATCTTACTATTTCAGGGCGGAAGTTCAGATCAGCTGTATAACTCGGTACACACACAGGCAAGGGCACACTCTTTGCCTCCCTCCGATCAGCATAACAAGGAGTAGACCTTAAAGTTAATAGTGATGCCACCTCCCTTTCTTCTATACTTTTTTCATCTCCATTTTCGTTTCGTTTCTTTCTGATCACAACAGATATTTACGCTGCCAAAAGACACTTTAGTGTATCCTGCTCATGACTACAAGGGATTAACTGTAAGTACATGTTTTTAGCCATGGAAAGATTTGATCACCATCTTATGTGTCTGTTTCTTCTCAGGTAAGTACAGTTGGGGAGGAAATACAATATAACCCGCGCTTGTCTAAAGATAAGGTAATTTTATTTACAATACAACGTATTCTGCAATGAATGTAGTTTTTCAATTGCTTCCCGCTGGGGGCTTGTATATAACATCACAGTGACTTGCATGTGCATGTTCTTGGGGAACCAATTTTGCAGGAGACATTCAAAGACATAATGGCTAGTGAGTATCCGTTGTACTCACAAGTAGCGCCAAACTCATTATTAAGCCCATGAATTTGGCTCTTTTGATAACATTGTTTTATGGGTAAATGACAGGTTTGAAGTTGTCATATCCAAAACTGATGGATGTTGCTGTGCCTGCGAATATGGTCTGCGGGTTGCAAGATACAACAAAGCCATAGCCCCTGCATTGATGTTCACCATCATTATTATATCCGTTGCTGTATTTTCGAGTGGTAACAATCTTACCAAGGAAAAACGAAGTTGAGAACATTGGGAGATGAGAGGTTGAAGGTTAGCCGGAAACGGCAATGGATCCTGGATACAAATTATGGTTGATTCTTTTTCTGCATTGCTGTAATTTCATGTCTCCATTCTATAATGCATAAATTGGGTATGTATGTTTGATTTTATTATAATTAGAAGAAATATACATTTAATTCTTTTATTTATAATGAAAAGAAAAATAAAATGTAAGAAAATTTATTTGAAAACTATATAAAAGAATTTATAAAATAAAAAATAACATGACTATATTAATACAAATGTATAAATAAACAAAAATTATTATGATCTTCAAATAGTAAAAAAATTACTTCTTTTGTCTATTATAGATTTTCCTACATGTTATTTTTGTTTTTCCACGAAAATCTTTCCTACGTAGTATTATCTTTTTTTAATATTTAAAATGTCACAACTAGCCTCACTTATTTTATTTATTACATCTTACTTATTAAATTTAATATATTTCACGTAGTTTCATTAGGAATATTTTAATAAATTTTTACTTTTTTCAATTCTTCTTAATTGCAAAAGGTCAGCTTGGAAAGGTAAAGTTTATGACGAAGGGAACGTATGAGGTTTATGAAATTGATACTTTGTACGGAGAATTTGATTACACGACTAACCACACCGACGGCTCATTGGTAGTGCACTTTGGTCTCAAAGCCATCCTAAAAATATCACACAACTTTTGAGTGTTTTCTTTGGAAAACTAAACAAACTGCATACTGTAAGAAATTAAAGATTACAGCAAGAAAAAAATAATAATCCAAATTTATAACATGTTCGAATTTTACAACAAAAAAATAAGTACAAGAAATTGCTGGTGGTCGGAAAATGAACAGAGAAGAAAAGTAAAGTCGCTGGAGCTTTCCTTAAGGTAGTATTGCCCGCCTCACGCACTGGCCACAACGTAGACGATCTCTTCCCAAGATAAAACTGTTAACGTGCAAAGTCTAGAGCGGTAGAACAATGCATCGACGAACTAGAACGAAGTAGAGTTATTCGCCAGAAGAAAACGATCAAAAAACAGTGAGAGAGAGTTGGAATGCAGAGAGCTTTTTTGAGTTCGAGTTGGGTGTCATCTCTGCAGCAAAAACCTCCTTAGATAGGAGTGGATTTGGGCGTTTGGACGGACTGGGCGGAAAACACGAGTCATGTGACTCTTCGTAAGTGCATGTATTCATATCTTCTACTTCAATCTTAACGAAGTGTTTACACGTGTTCGAATGGGTCTCGTAAAAAAGATAAGGGTCCGGTCCACGCCCTCGCCACAATGCGTCGCGCGCACGCACGCACACGCCACACGTCACACGCCACACACCAACACGTGTTCGCGCGCGCTTGTGTCGTGTTGAGCCGGACGGATAGCGGCGGCGGCAGTGCGCGAGGGCTCCCTTGGTTCTTCCTTCGTAAATTACTTTACAATGCTATTAAAGACGAGCCCAGTTCCATGGCCACTAGAATCCAGTGGTCATAGAACCGGGCTCATTAAAGACTAGCATATAAATAAAGGAAGTTGAAGAGATTATGAATTCAATGTGGGACACAAGAATTCACCCCTACCAAGTACTCCGTATTTGATTTCGAAAATTAATTTCTCATTCACCCGAGCACCGACTTAGGCGCACAATATGTCGAAATACCCGTCTCACTTAGAATAGTATTTGTCCATAATTACTTTGGAAAAATAATTTTTTGGACCTTATCGAATTTCTGTCCAAAGTTGTCCCTTTATGAGTAAAAATTCCAACGATCCCCCCCTGAATGAAAAGTTAAATCATGTGCTTGTAAATAACTCTATGGTTGAAGACTGCAAGAGTAGGTAGGTTTTGTTTTTTTGAACCCATTCCTTGTTTTTTTGTTTTTCACTTTGAGATTTTATAATGGCTATCTCGAACTGCTTACAATGAAGATTTAACGGCTATCTTATACCATTCCCCCAAGGATTTCAAAGGTTATCCTTGAACCTTTACCCAAGGATTTATACAGCTATCTTTGACCATTACAACATGAGAATTTAATGGCTATTCTTGACCATAAAAAGATGTGTTTGAAAAACACAAAAAATGATTCTACACAATGGCTTGAATACAAAATTGAAGAACAAGACTTTAGCTGATGTAGAAGGAAAATTATACTATTGAACAAGACTTTAGCCGATGTAGAAGGAAAATTATACTATCTCAAAAAATACAAAATAAACTTATGATTATGAGAGTATATCACTAAAACACAAGCTCAAAAGTGTGCATAAAAATCAGGAGATTAAGGCTCTTGAAATAGCCAAAATATTGAAAATAAGAATAAAAGAATGAACACGCTTAAAAGAGTAAATTCCATAATTAGTCCTTTATAATAGGGGGGTTTCCATATTTAGTCCTTTATTATCAAATATTACCCCCGTAGTCCTTTTTTAAGAGTACCTTTCCACAAATGGTCCTTTTTTTGATCTTCTTCCGTGTTGGTGTTAATTTAAAGGCTAAAAGTATAATTTGACGTCAACATTATGTCTAGTGACGTGCTCTGATATTGATTAAGCGGATAACTCAAAAATAATGACTATGATTGTGGGCTAGGATTCTAACGAAAGATCACATTTGTAGACTATAGTTGTCATAAAAAGCGACTGTAATTCACAAACGACGCAAACGGAACAGCCTTTGGAATTGTGTATGACAAAAAAGATATATTATCATTATGAAATTACACTTTTAGCCCTCAAATTAATACCAACATGATAGAAGATAAAAAAAGGACTATTTGTGGAAAGGTACCCATAAAAGAAGGACCACTTGGATAATATTTGATAATAGAGGACTAAATAGGGAAACCCCCCTGTTATAAAGGACCAGTTATAGAATTTACTCCACTTAAAATATAAAGAGAGAATGTTTAGTCCTTTGTTTCTTGTTGAAATGTGAAGTATTAGGACTATATTTATAGTGGAAGGTATTAATTAGCCGTTAGGAGCTGACTAGGGTTGATTTAATTCAAAATTCAGCAATCAAGAACATTTTTCCAACGGCTACGATACCTTGTCACGGTAGCTAGGTACCGTACGGTAGCTAGGTACCTTCTCAGGCAAAAACTCTCGGGCGGTAGTTGTCCTCTTACGGTACCTATTTCACTATGGGGGCTCCCGTCCGGATGGTAGGGGTTACCTTCTCAGATTGACTCACGGTACCCCTTACGGTACCTAGGTACCTGACCGTTTTGATGATTTTTCATTTTGTCCAAATCATTTCCAATTTTGTTTCAAACCTTTTGTATGTTTGAAAATGATTATAAGAAGGTTTTAAACATATTTTGTGAGTGTTTTTGAGCTTGTGAACATAGGTATATAAAATCATATCCTTACAATGGTTTCTACCCATATTCTACGCTAGTTTAGTGTTTCGACTTCATTCTTGAGTACTGAATCTTAATGGATTCCCATTGTACCTGAAACACTTAAAAAACGTTAGCTCTTATATTGTTTGTTAACATCAAAATACGAGGCTTTAGCAAACCAAGGCTAACACACGCTCTTGGTTCTGCAAGAGTATCAGACAATTTACCCGGAATCCTTCTGTTGAAGCGACCGCACTTCACTCTTACATAGATGATTATTTAAGAGTATCCTGATTACTATACTTGGACCCATTGTCCATAGTTCAAGAATCATTAAAGCATCATGCTAACCTCAACATTTTTGGGAGTCACTATATCTCGGTAGGAACGAAGGGGTTTTAAATATCCTGCTTGCCCCCACAGTGACCATGCTTCGTCTCACAAGTAGGTTGTCTCATTGAACCTAGGTACCACTCAGGCTGGGTTTTCCTTCATGAAACGTTCTTAGCACAGGTAAGAGCTCCCAGACTCATTCTTACCACTAACTTCTCATGGTGTTCGTTTTTTAACCCTTTGGTTAGTGGATCCGCTAAATTATCCTTTTTTGAACTAACATAATCAATTGAGATAATGCCCGTATTGAGAATTTGCCTAATGGTTTTGTGTCTATGGCGAATGTGTCTAAATTTTACATTGTACATATTGTTGCGAGCTCGTCCTATTACCGACTGGTAATCGCAATAAACGCAAATAGGAGAAACTGGTTTTCCCCAATTTGGAATATCTTCAAGAAAATTCAAAAGTCATTCAACATGTTCTGCACACTTATCTAGTGCTATAAACTCAGACTCCCATAATGGATCTCGCTATTAATGTTTGTTTTGAGGATTTCCATGATACATCTACACTAGCTAACATAAGATATATCCACTCCTGGATTTTGAATCTTTATTATCCGCAATCCAGTTTGCATCGGCATAGCCTTCTAGCATAGGTGGATATCTACCATAGCACAAACTATAATTTCACGTATACCGAAGGTATCTCACTACTTGGACTATGGCCTTTCAGTGCTCAGTGCTTGGGTTGCGAGTATACCTACTTAGTTTGCTAATTGCACAAGCTAAGCCTGGCCGTGTGCAGCTCATGAGATACATCAGGCTTCTGATAGCTCTCGCATATTAAGTTTGAGAATCGCTATTCCCTCGGTATTTACCCAGGTGAACATTCATGTCTATCGGTGATTTGGCCACTTTAGTATCATCCTTGTTTAATTTTTCAAGGATTTTGTCAATGTAATGAGATTGGCTCAAGCTCATACCGTTTGGTCTTCTTATTATTTTGATGTCAAGAATCACATCAGCCACACCCAAATCTTTCGTATTGAATTGTGCGTTTAACATGTCCTTGGTGGACTTGACCATCCTGCCATTACTTCCAATGATGAGTAGGTCGTCTACGTACAGACATAGAATGACATATCCTTCAGATGAATCCTTAAAGTACACACACTTATATGACTCATTTATCTTAGAACCATTGTTCATCATTACCTGCTTAAACTTATCATGCCATTGTTTTGGCGCTTGTTTAAGATTGTATAATGATTTCACAAGTTTACAGACCTTCTTTTCTTAGCCCAGAACGTTAACCCCTGGGGTTGTTCCATATAGATTTCATCATCGAATCTAACTCGCCATTTAAAAAAGCTATCTTTACATCCATTTGGCAAACATCCAAATTTCGTAAGGATGTGAATGCGATGATCATCCTCATAGAATCTATCTCAGTCACAGGCGCGTAAGTATCAAAGTAGTCATAGCCCTCGCGTTGGCTATAACCTTTGATCACAAGTCTAGCTTTATAATTGTCTATGGAGCTGTCAGGTTTCATTTTCCTCCGGAAGACCCATTTGGAACAACCTAATGGCTTGCAGCTTGGAGGGAGGTCAACGAATTCCCACATGTGATTCTGAAGAATAGAATCAACTTCACTTTTTATGGCTTCTCTCCACTGAGGTCCTTCAGTTGAAGTTACTGCCTCGTGATAGGTTTGTGGTTCCTTTTGTACCAGACAGGTTAGAATATCGGATTCATTCTCCATTAGAAATGACAGAGTTCCTTTGTCAAATTCTATCAAGAATGTTATGAAGTCAAAACTAAATGTCTTTTCAGTTTGCATTCTTTTACTTCGTCTCAATTCAGTTTCATGTTCGATTTCATCATCGCTACCGAAACTCAATTGATTTGGATTGTCATTATCCATCATCTCAGTACGTGTACGTTTAAACGAACTGGCTTCATTGATTGACTTGTACGGAGAGATATGTTCAAAGAATGTTACATTCTGTGACTTTATAATCATGTTCTTCCTAAAACCTTATCTTGTGGTGTTCTTTTGAAACAACTTGTGGTGCATAGGCACTAAGCACATCATTAAGAGCTTTCCCTTCTACTACGCGTATGGATTTGCATACCAAGAAAATATAAAATTAGATTCCATAAATAAGACCTCGGAGAAATAAATAAGAGAAAAAGTGAAGAAAATGACTTCTTTGAACAAAAAAGATTAATAAAAAGACTAATTATTATTATTTTTTAGATAAACTTTGTGGCACAATAAACATAATATGGCTTGCAAGTGACATGCCCAAAGGCACAGGTTATAAATGTCTTGTTACAACATCCATATGTCGAATTGATAAAAATTGACTATACGAACTCCTGACTTTTCAAACTAAATACTCCGTAAATTTATTTTATTTATACATCAAATGGAACTTGTTCAATTACAAAAATGCTAGTACAAATATTATTCTATACACTATATATCTACGTAGGTGGAGGAACAAAATTTGGCTGCACATGAAAAGAATGAGGCTTTCCCCAGGAAAGTTTTGAAGAATGCTGCCTAACTAAAAATACTTCAGTAATACTCATGCAGGCATGATGTGTACAAGACAAGAATGCTCCACATATATCCAAAATCATTTTGTGGTGAAATGAACTCATTTGTTTTTCTTCTTCTTCCCATAGAGAATAGAGTGAATCTGCAGGCTTCGGTTAAAGGCCTCGTTGAAAAGAAAACGTGTTTGGAAGGCAGAAATTATAGGCATCCATGCTAAGGAAGCCAGTGGAGCAAAGATAACAACTCCCATTCCATAATCATAAGCTTGAGCAAAGACTTCGGTGAAATTCCACATCCCGGTTCCGTCAATCAATGGTCTCATTGCTTGTGCAACCTGAAAAATTGGATGGAGTAGAAAGAAAAGAGATATCTAGTCAAACTTTAAAGCTCTTTCTCCTTTTGTATGATGAAACCGTGTTTAGGATAAATATGTATGTATATAATTGCATGTTACCAATATCAAGCCCCATCCGGTTGGTAGAAACGCGAGACAGCATACGATCAAATCTCTAACGGATAGATCACAGATGTACGAAAGGGTTATAATTATAGCTATAACTCCCAGGAACAACAGTGCTTTGAGGAACCGGAACGCTAGGTGATGATCAGCACTGAGGAATCGCCTGCCAAGCCTGACAGCCTGTGTGCATATCACGTTCATACGATTGACTCACTTTTATATCAAACCAGCAATTGCACAAAATCATGGTGCACACACACACACACACAGATATATATATATATATATATATATATATATATACATATATATATATATATATATATTTATAGGGAGAAGAATTATGAATTTTTAGTGTTTGCAGAATTAAGAATGGCCTTGTTTGGGAAGAGCGTTCTCAATTAGCGTTAGCGTTTTGGATAAAATTTTAACGGTGTAGATTAACTCTAAAAACGCGAACGCTAAAGGCTACCATAAGATAGTCTTTTCAAAACGCTAACGCTAACCTCTAATGCTAATGCCAAACGGAGCCAATGTCTACAAGAGCACAAAAAGGTTGTTTGCGTGTTGTGAACAAGTAGGTGTGCAGAATTTTGGTGTAGAAAATCATTATCTGGATAAGTATTGCGGGTTTTAAAGAAATAATGGATAAAAGTGTATACCTTGACCATAACGAAAATCAAGAGAAAGACAACCCATGAGAGCAAATAAACAATGAGATCTTTGTTCTTCCCAGAGATGTCAAGGTGATAGACCAATCCATATTGGTAAATGAAAAACCTGAGGGAAAGGAATATCTCAATTAACCGAGAAAGCAGGCCCGAGTGAGATTGTTCATTATACCACCATGACTGCCAACTTTTGTCTTGTTGGATTCCAATTCCGCCTTGTTGTTGTATCCACTTGTTCCAGTCTTTCCAGTCATCCACTATCTTCCCCCATTCAAATCCAGAGGGATTAAAGAGGAAGGGGGCAAACAACCAAGTCATTGACATGAACCAGACCGAATAGGTAATGAGAACATAAACCACAGTGTTCTCATACCCACGCATAAACAGGTCATAAACAACCAACAGAAGCATTAACTCATATCCTTTCACAAAGTGGCTCCGCGAGTATAATCTATAGTTCTCAGTGAAGCTTGCATGAAATACCACAACCTTGCGGCCAGTGGGTCTATACTTGGCACCCCCATGGAGGATTGTTCTGCCGTAGTGGTGAGATTTTGTGCCAAATGAGAAAGTAAAGAACACGGCAGCCAGATGCAGTTGCATCAACACAAAATCTTTGACTGCGTTTAGCAAACCATGCTCAACCCCAATCTCTACAACCATTGGTAAGCCTGTCAAGAGACCAAGCTGGATAAATGACTGTGATGCTAAAGCTGTTTCAAGTGGCTTTAGGTTTTGTTCTCTTGCCTCAACGGCTATTGTTCTCTGGAGACCACTAAGGACAAGGTATAACTGCCCGTAAAGGAACACGTATATTGTTATCACTGATATCTGCATTTTTTTTGTTTTTGTCACAGAAATGATGACAGAGGTTAAAGTTTGAAGCAGCCCCTTATATCAAAGAACAATTGCATAATGAAATTTCCATATTTGAAAAGCAATAGAAAGAAGAGTTTTGGGATTCAACTATTACCAGACTGTTGAAGTAGAAACCTATTGTTGTGAAATATAAAGAGAGCATGCGAAAGAAGTCAAATCGATGACCAAGACGGTATATATCTCGACTAATTGTTTGCTCACTGTTGCCATTTGCTACTTTTGCTTCGAACTTGGATATCTGATTGAGACCCACATCACGACCTTTGCCAACTTGCATATACTCCAGATATGTAACACATCCCTTCCGTAGTGTTGTGTTAAATCCTACATTATGTCCATAGGTTATTATTTTGACTTAAGTATAACTGAATGATTCAAAAACAGTTCCACCCAAGCTATGTTCCGACCTGCAAAAACATCCTCACTCAAGTTGATTGTTTTGGATGCCTTGCTAATGCCTCCTCGTGTCAAGTGAAATAGTCTATCAAACAAATCGGGATGACCATAATGGAATCTGACCCTGGATTTGATAATTGAAATTTGAAATCAAAGGTTAGAATGAAAAATACTGTACATAAGTATTCAGCATACAATGCGTAGTAGATTGATATTGAAAACAGTGTGAGAAATGTTTGTTATGAAGAACATGAAATGGTCTAGCAGCAATCTCTTCATATTTATTTGCACTGACTAATAAATAATGCAAGCACATAAAGTTACCTGAGTGGATTAGCTAGAAGTCTTTGGCCGATTGTAACAAAGCTGGTCTCTTGATAAGACATGAACCAAGCCAAAGAAGAAACACTGCAAACATGAATGCTTCTTCAGTTACACAAATTCTTTATTTACAAAAAATACATAATAATACATCGATTATGAACTCTTAAAATATTTAGTTTGTTTGAAGAGAAGTCTTGATATGGGTCATATGACTTGTTAATGGCATCTGCTTTTATAAATGTCAAAGAAACAAAATACATCATGTCATCATCAAGATATTTGATGGTAACCTTCCAGTAAATATATGCTCTCTCATGCCAATTATTGTGGGGGATCTACGACCTCTGTTATGCATAAATTCCTGCAAGATATTTCTCATTTTGAAAGCTTCCTCCAGATAATTATCCTGCCAGAGCGTGCTATTAGTGCATGCCGTAAAAAAAACCCATTCGAAAAGCAAGAGTCAAGGTAAAAATTACTTGGTTCATGTCAATTGCTTGGAGAGCTTCTCCACGTGTGAAAATTATGGCATGATTTTGATTTTCTGGTTTGCCTTCTCCAATATTTGGTGAGCCTGGGAGTTTAATGCGATACACCTCCTAAAATATATATATAATAGAGTTACACATTTTGAACATGTGGAATTACAGCCTTTTATACACAACATGCCATTGTTGACAAACTTTTATCTTTTGCAACATGTGGATTGACATTGAACTGAGGATGTAGTTACCTGGTCTAAACCATTGACAGCTTTAACCAATATAGATGAATAAGTTTTTCGAGACCTGCCCTCTTCTCTCTCTTCCACGTAGGCAACACGTAGAGAAGGATAACTTTTGGTGAAGAGTGCCAAACAAGAGACTGATGTTATTTTTATTCCAAGATCTTGTAAATTGCAATGAATGTTCTATACATTTATTTTTTTACCTTATCATCAAATCAAGTATGTCTTGTGCCTGTGGATCTCCAGAGGACTTCTGAGATCCAAACATTTGACAAGAAACTACCTGAGTAAATTTCATGTCTGCAAATGCTTCAACTTGAGCCGCTAACCTTTCGTTTTCACTCCCAATAGTGTCGTAACCTTGAAGAATGTCTTTGGGGCCGATAAAAAGCATGAAAAATGAGTTTATTCTTTTAGGGGATGTAAAAAGTACAAAAGAAAAAACCCCAAATATATCTTGAACAAATAGGCTTCAACAAACCATCATTCCAAGCCAAGTCAAGAAATGCTTGCAACTTTATAGCTTCCCTGTAGTACATCATTCCTCGCACTGTTAAAGGAATAATGAATATATTACTATGCATGATTAAAGCAGTAAATCCTCAGCATAGTGTAGCAATGGATACCAATGTGCTAGCTTAGACCTGTCCGGCTTAGAGTTTGCCCTCGAAAAGAAGCCCATTTCCTGATGTCTTCTTCATACCTCTCATCATCCATGTCATTTGATATATCCATCCCCACGCGTTCACAAAAATTCTCCCATTCATCTGCATCAAACAAGTAAAAATTAGGTCCTATACAAATGAAACATAGAGGGTTTTGCACAACTCACTCATGTATTCCGTGTGCTGTGTGCCAACCTGGGTATATATTCTTCATATAGAAATTAATGGACACTCCTTGTTTACGCGATCGAAGCTCTTTCGATGAAAACTTAACTTCTTCCATGTAGTGTGGAGTCAGAATGCTGCAACATTAACATTCAGTACATAAGGTGATAAACAGGGCTGAAAGAGCTAGAACATTAATTGAGCAGTTGAGCACTGCACACAACATCAAAATAATGGTGTAATTTGTCACTACAAAAAATATTTGGTGTCTCATGATTTTTCAAATATTCCAAGTTTTGGGTATATTGTGAAAATGTGTGTTCTGAAAATGATCTCAAAGGGAATAGACTATTAGGAATACAAAAACACCATGTACAAAAGTTAAACCTGAAAGACAGCATGTTGCGGACATGTGGGGCACTTGGCATGTCCATAAATAGAGATGTGGCAAAAAATGTAATCCGTCTACGTGCCTTCAAGTTTTTTGGCACGTCCAATGCTTTATCTTTGACAGTGAGCAACAAAAGAAATCGTTTGATCTATATAGCATGAAAGATGAGTAAGTTTTTTTGTATATGCGGCTTTTCTCATTTTCCATTTACAGTAGTACACTAATAAAAAGACACATAAGGGCAATTTCTTCAACACAAATGTAGGAAGTACGTAAGATACTGATTTATTTTATTAGGAGGTAAAAAGTAAAACACCTTTTCCATTAAGGAATCAGTATCTGGCAATGGAAAGTTAAGACAATGCTTTGATGAAAATAACGGTTGTTCAATTGAACTGGAAAAAAATTCTGTTGGTTCCTTCATCTCGTGTTCAGCCTGAAGTGAAGTCAGTAATCTGTATTACATTAAGAAACTTAGTAGAAGATCTTCAGTAGTACCTAAAAAAAACATGATCACTAACAATCAGAATCTTATAGAGCCTAACCTCGAACCATTTAGCATCAAATCACGGGTAACAAGCTCAAATATATCTTGAAGTGCCAACACTACTTTACCGTAGTGATCGTCGTTCCCCTCAACCTTGATGCGGTAATTCATGTTGACATGAACATAGTTAGCTAGTTAGAAACAATGGTAAGTGAATTGTCTTAGTAAAAGAATAATTCACATAATGATGTAAAAATTTACCAGAAGCTCAACTAACTCAGTGCACTTCTCATGTATGCTTGGTAGTGTACTTATATCTAGGTCCTCCAGAAAAGATGATCCTCTAATGCTCTCCTCAATTTCAATGAATATGCTAGAAACAATCCTGTAGGAAGAAATTCATGACAGTGGAACTAATGAAACAGTAAAAAGAATCATGTCATTTTTAGATATCAAGCACCTTTTTTCCAGGTCACCAAGGACGAGGATATCCAGGATGTGTTTCAGTGACTCATAGCACTCGGTTACAACCAAATATAAGCAGTTGTCCTTTTTTATCTTTCGCAAAAGTTGTGCATCTTTTTTGCCCACAAAATCTCTGGCAATACTAAGTGCTGTTGAGAGCTAAAGATGAAGTATGGATCACAAGTTTTAAACAACTGTTAGTATATAACCTAGAGAATAATTCAAAAATTAATATGGTACCTGGTTTGCCAAGAGGAATACAGGCCAACGGATCTGGCCTGAGAACAACTCTGATGACACAGGCATTTTCATCAAATCCATCTCCCTATTTAAAAAATGATAATAATTAATAAATGGAACATTAAGCTAAGCTGGTGAAGATTTTGTAAGTTCCATACAAAATGAACATATCTGAGAGAAACCATTAACCTGTTGCTTATCAAGTCTTCTTCACGGAAGCTATAAATGATTTGGTTCCACGCAAGAACAAAGTTCACGACACCATTCTTCTCGCTCTCTGAGTCCTGAAAGTTAACTTAGAATTTAAGCAGTTCTGCAAAAGCAAAAAGAGGTAAATACAGTAAGTTAATTTCACGTATCAACAAGCACTAACCTTATGAAAACTCTGGTGGAATAGCAACCTTTCTATTCCATTCACACTTTCTATTGCTTGTGGTGGAACGAGACGTTTGTTGAATGCTGAAGGAAAATTGACAAATCTGCTTCTCAGCATTCCTAGCGTCCTAATCTGAGTTGAAAAATAAAAATAATGACAACAAAGTTGTAGAGATAAATTTGGAAAATAATCAAATACCATGTAACTTACTTCACCAAGGTGGCTCAAAATTCCATACACTCCACCAAAAACAGAACAATAAACAGAATACCAGATTTGTGCATCCATGAAATATACCTTGACAAAACACTGTTTTATTACTAAATATGCCAAAGAAAAAAACATTATGAAACAAAAGGACATTTTATACACAATGATCTTGGAATGGGGTTCGTGAGACAGTAGAAGGATTATTATGACCATTATACAGATATTGGGCAAAGAAACACAACAAAAATGGGTTACTATGTTGTCTTCTTTACTTGAAATGAAAACTCACAAGTATAACAGGCACCCATATAGCAGTGATTGCCCCGGCATTACTCTTAACTGGATCGAGAAAAATCAATCAGAACATTTTGATGAATACAGCCTCGACTTGAGTCTTGAGCCATGTACGAAGAAAATATAAGTTGATAACTTAGTACCTACAGGGAAGAGCTCATGCCATTCATAATCTTTGACCCCAATCGCCATAATCTGTCTTGTAGGTGATATAAGAGGTTTTATCTGTATATAATAAACAAGAATTTGACTCTGAGATTCTGCTATAAATCTACAGGCCTGAGTGGTCAGCGGTATCAACCATAAGTCTTTGCCCAGAGATTTTAAACTCTGTAATTTATATACCAGCCAAAAGTGCATTTTTCCGATGTAATTCTGATTCCATTTTCCTCTGTTTGGTAGCATTAGTAGTAATAAAATGTTTTCCAAGGAAAATATGTTCTCCCATCCAGGGGCAAACAATTTCTGTTGGTTTTCGAAGGAAAATTCCTACTCATTCCTCGCCCCCTGCCACCCCCATGCTGCAACCCTCCCACCCCTGTCCCAACCCCTACCCCCGCCCCAACCCCTACCACTTGCCACCCCTACACCCACCAGCCTCCTA